AAATCCCGAATTGGTAGTGCTAAAGCACTACCGAAGGTAGGGCGTGAAAACGTCCAAACTCATACAACACACACTAGGCAAACTATCGAATAAAGGTGCTCATGAATGTGTAAACTCGCGAAGAAAAAATCATATTTATGAGGTTTCTGTGAGCACGAAAAGTTCCTCGAACTCAAGGCTGCACCCATCGACCTTGAACCATTGACGAAGTCTTTCAGCGTCGGCGTCACCTGCCGCCTCACGGATGATCGTGTTTGTCGTTGTCGACAATTGCCTCGTCCCGTTGTAATCTCGTACTTGAAGGTTTTGTAAGATAACTGCCTCGCCTTCTTTCCCATCTAATTTGCCGACAAACTCTGACCAGAGTCCAAGATTCACCATTTTCATACTATCGTCGAGAACCGTCACCGTTTGCTTTACACGATTGATCCCATCCCGACAATTGAATGTTTGGGGTGGTCTCACGTCGAATACAACCACGAGGATATCGACCGTCGTGTTCACGGGCTTTGTGAGCAGCTCCATCAGAACCGTCGTTTGCGCCTGAATCTTTGGAAGATCGTTTCCCGTGATTGGTATGACTTTACTTAGCTTAAAATAGAGATATTTCTTGAATCCCTCATTTTCTATTAGCGTATGAAAATTTTCGTTCCACAAGCCATAATTTCTTCTGACTAATGTTATGTTGAATACCTTCGTAAGCTGGAGTTCGCATTCATGGTCAGTCGCTCGGTATTGGGGATTCACAGCTTTGACCTTGTATGCATTTATCTTGTAGCATTGTCCAACCGTGATCATATCAAAAATCTCCTCCGCAGAATCCCCTGACGCGATCACATTTATCTCACCGCTTGTGTCGCTCATCACGAAATTGAAGATTTTTCCACTGCCATCCCCCTTGGACCAATGTTTCACTGGCGTCTTGGATTTGACGCGCCCTTCGACCTGGCCGCATCCCTTACCTAGTCGGATTTCGTGGAGCAGTTTTGATTTCTTCTCCGGGGGAACATGGATTCCAGCGGAACCTTCGGACGTGCTCGGTTCGCCACGATCATTCTCCGCCCGATCCGCTGTTGATAAATACATAAAATGATGGTAAAAACCATAAGCTACGTGGTCATCATCACTCCCCGGAATCCGCAATCTTGCGAATTGGACTCGCCTTGTCTCTTTCTCGGGGCGGCCGTATGTCTCGAACTCGGCTTTGACATTGGGGGATGCTTTCGGTTTACACCGTGACTTTTCGCTCAAAGATTGCTTTTCGTTGTTTGAGACTCGAAAACAATTTGCTGGGGTTCTGGATTCTTTATATACCTTCTGGCGCCACGGATATATATTTCACGTAGAAATGATCACACCTCGGCCAATATATGTTCATGGTCTCTCTTTAGTCTTCCATATGTCTTCCTCGTGTTTTTTTCATTCTATTTCGGTCCCATGTGTTTAATGTTTCCTGAATTCCCGCTGTGTGGTTGTCTCTCTGTGTGTGCGGTCGATTTTTGCTCTGTCATCGTTCGTATCCCGTATCAATCCCGTACGCGCTTCTCGTTTACTGGGGTATATATTGTATCTTGTTGAATACGGGACGATGATACGGGAAGTAGGATACGCATGCTCTGCATGATATCGGAAGGTGTTTAGCAAATGTCAGATCGAGGCATGTCCCTCTCAGAGTGGTCTTTTTTGCCTTCAAACCGTGGTGTGTTTCATGGAATACCTCCAATTTTTTCCGGTTATATATATAATCGACAATATTTTATGGAGAGCTAATTTATGACAATATATCGGCCGGATAGTTTATTCCGCGGCATAGGCCACAACGACTTCCATATCAGTCAGTGTCTTTGTCAGCCTGTGCGGCCCCTCGAAACTGACTAAATCTTCCGCCGACCGACATATGTAGCAGTGACCGCAGTATCCAATGAGGGATCTCATATATTTCTCAAAGTTGGTGACACTGACGCTGCGTCGCCGTCTCCCTTCCCGGGAGACTATGATTATCGTCAGGTTCCTGGTAATCGAATCTGCGTCGTCGTGACCTTCCGTGATATGTTGCACAGTTTTCGCGCCTCCACTCTGCTCGTGTGTGACTACGACAGGAACGCTGGTGATAGATATGATCGTGCTGTGCCTTTGAATCGCTTCAGCTTTTTCCATTGCGGACCATGTCTGCTCTCTGTCACTCCAAAGATGCAGGATCACTGGCGTCCCGTACGGCTTCTGCGCGATATGGTCTGGTCTTCGACGGGTTCGCAAATACAATGGAGCTTCTTGATTCATTCTTGATGTTCGGTCACGGTCGTTGGGGATATCCGCGCTCCTTGGACTCTCAGCTACGCCGAGGACAAACTCATGTGAATCCATGGAAGGTATCATCGTGTGTTGAACGGTCGATTCGGTTGCCGATGTTTTCCGATCCTTTGACTGATGTGTCACCAACTTTGTTGTTGCTGTCAATTCAATCGCGGTGTATGGATACGAGTCGTATTTATATGCTGGTTGTTTCTAAGCTGGGACTACACAATCGACGCCTTTCACTAATCCCTTCGCCTGTTTTCTCACCGATTCGGGATGGAGAAATACCTCCCGAAATACCTCATGAAATACCTCCTGCTAAATATTCTTCAATTCTGGGCAGCTGCCGCTCGAGCGGATGAACACGGACCGCGGTCGGAGAGGGCGATTCGAACGCGGGAAACGCGGGGAAGAATGGAAATTGACTCAGAGTTTCCGCGAGAGGTTCCGCGGAACCCTCACGGGGCTCCCCGACGAGTCTCACGGAATCCTATGGGTTCCACGAGACCGAAAAATACGCCTGTGAGAACCACTGGCGTATTGCATCGCTACGAACGAAAACCCGTCGCGATCTCCGAATGATTTGGACAGGGAACTCACTCAAATCAACCTTGTCGTAATGACATGGATACTGTATTACGTGTGGTGATCTCATTGGATATTTATTCTTGACTCATAGTTATATATGACTCTGAGAGCGCTCTGACGTACACGACGCCAATTTGGATCACCTTCCAATGGAATAATTATGCCATGTTTCACATGTATGTAACGATGGAATCGATGATTGTGTGGAATGGGAATCGTCACCGTGAAATATATGTTGAATGAATCGATTGTTAGCAATCTGGATGATCCGTCGTGGTTCCAATCGACGCAGTCCCTTGAATAGATGGCGAGGATTCTTTTTATGGGATTATTGTTCCTTGTTCCCCACTCTAGAAGGTCACGGCACAACTGAACAGCGTGGACTCGCCGGCTGGGATCACGCATCACGATTTGGTGATGACAACTCATATTCAATCAGGAATCTTTTTATGATCCGTCCGTTTTGAGAGAATCACAAGCGAATGTCACCAATTAGTGTCTCGTTATCGTTATTCTCGATGATTATATATCTGGTGCTCTACGGTGACCTCATTTATGGCGTGTGAGGTACGACTGTCCAATAAAAATAATTCCCAGACAATGTCTATGGTCACGCTTATGTATTCGGTTTTTTGTGTATGCTGGCTCGGTCCTGATTCGTGGTGTCCGTCACCATCGCCTTGTTTTTCGCCTAGTGCCGCCGTTGCGAAATGTGCCGTGGCGCATTGCTCTGGTCTCGATTCCCCAGTGCAGCTCACCGGAATCAATAATTTTTCGTCCGCAAACCGAACTTTGACTTTTCGCTTGTGACGTTCCCTACTTGCATTTTTCGGCCTCATTAGGACGGTCTCAAAATCGAAGTGAATCGGTATGCGAGCGTAGACACCATCACGGTCCCACCATTCGGGCACCTCACGAAACTGAAGAATCGTGATGTGCCCGAATCTGTGACCGGTGTTTCACAGGCGTCTTGGCTTTGACGCGTCCCTCGACATGGCCGCATCCCTTACCTAGTCGGATCACGTGGGGAAATTTGATTTCTTTTTCGGGGGGACAAGGATTTCAGCGTATTTCTCGGACGTGCTCGGCTCGCCGCGATCATTCTCCGGCCGATCCGCTGTCGATAAAAACATAAATTGATGGAAAAACCATCAGCTACATGGTCATTATCACTCCCCGGAATCCGGAATCTTGTGAATTGGACTCGCCTTGTTTCATTCTCGGGGTAAACGTTTGTCGTTGGCCTCGACATCGGGGGGCGCTTTCGGTTTACTCTGCGGAAGTCGTCACCGTGTCTTTGGTCGCATCCCTTACCTAGTCGGATTTCGCGGAGAAGTTTCGATTTATTCTCCGGGGGGACATGGATTTCAGTGTATTTCTCGGACGTGCCCTGTTCGTCGCGATCATTCTCCGGCCGATCCGCTGTTGATGAATACATAAATTGATGAAGCTACGTGGTCATCATCACACCCTGGAATCCGGAATCTTGTGAATTGGACTCGCCTTGTCTCTTTCTCGGGGTAACCGTATGTCGTTGGCCACGACATCGGGGGGTGCTTTCGGTTTACTCCACGTCTTCACCGTGTCTTTTCGCTTTGTGTTTGCTTTTCGTTGATTGAGACTCGAAAACAATTTGCTGGGGTTCTGGATTCTTTATATACCTTCTGGCGCCATCGATATATCTTTCTCGACGACATGATCATACTTCGGCCAATATATGCTCATGGTCTCTGTTTAGTCTTCCTTATGTCTTTCTGATGTTTTTTCCATTCTATTTGGGTCCCATGTATTCAAAGCATCCTGAATTCTCGATATGTGTCCGTCTCTCTGAGTGTGTGTTCGATTTTCGTTCTGTCATCGTTCGTATCCCGTGTCAATCCCGTACGCGCTTCCCGTTTACTGGGGTTTATATTGTATCTTGTTGAATACGGGACGATGATACGAGAAGTAGGATACGTATGCTCTGCATGATATCGGAAGATTTCTGGCAAATGTCAGATCGATGCATGTCCCTCCCAGGGTGGTCTTTTCCGCTTCATTATTGATCATTTTCAAACCGTGGTGTGTTTCAAGGAATACCTCCAATTTTTTCCGGTTATCATTGGATGTGTTGAAGTCACCGATAACTAACATGGGCATTTGCCTCCGCGCCGATTGGCGATCATATTCTCCCAATGTCTGTGATAGGAATTCTTCCATCTGATCGTATCCATTTCCCTGATGCATGTACACTGCAGCAAGGATGAATTCGATCTTTCCGTTCAAATGTACGTGAGTGATTGCGATGTCCCCGGTGTGCTCCAAGCTATCATTACTGAACGTCGCGCGTGGTGTTCCGGTGTTCAATGCTGTGCCGACTTTTCTGTATATCGCAACGCCCCCTGATCGTTTTCCACACGTTGATTGTTGATCTAAATGATAACCATCAATGTTGATTGGGGTCGATGATGGATGCATCCACGTTTCAGTGGTGACCAAGAGATCAGCTCGCTGTAAAAGCGGATCCGTCGCGATATCCTCAGCATGAGCATGTAGACTCTGAACGTTCACGTTGACAATGGTCCATGTTTCTACTCCGGGACTCGCTGTTGTGAGGAAATCGTCTATATCGGTAGTAATTGTACGGAGACGGTGTGTGGCCAGCCTTTTGTATTCATTCTGTACTTCTCTTATTGATGGACTGTTCGCGGTTCCCGTATGGTAAAAGGTGAAGTCATCGGCATTATTCGTAATGTATAAACCCTCGAGGCTTGTCACTCTACTAAGTGCAACGTAGACTAGTTGCTGTTGATGATTTTTATGATAATCGTAAACGATCCGATTGAATGTCCCGCCCTGAGATTTATGAATGGTCAAGGCACACGCGGATACAAGCGGGAACTGGAGCCGCCGGCACCGTATTTTCGAGTCGATCTTGATATTTGCGGACCGTGATTCGATGGGTACCCATTGCTCACTAAGATCATTGGGTTTGCTACGTACGTGCGCCTTGTACTTTAGGCGTAGTTTACGTCCGATGTGATCGTTCTCGAAACTCAACCAAAGCCGACGATGGTCTTGGCCGTCTTTGTCTAGTGCGTAATGTTCGACGTGTCTTAGTTGGCCTATCGCCCCGTTCACAAGACCATCCTCAACGTCCACGTTTACCGTCAGCATGTATGGATATCCTTCTGCCAGGGTTATCGTGTATGGTAAATTCCCCGTGTCTCTTGTATCTTTCCTGTGCATTTTCCCTATCGCATTCCTCCTTTCGGCTTCTGTTCTGTAACCGGTGTATATATCTGTCGCGATATGATTATGCGTGGATTCTGTTACCGGTATCGCGGAATCATTATATGATTGGACGTCAGCACTTGTGTGATAAAGTCTCATGACTTCGGTGGATAAATTTGCATCACACCATCGCCGCGTACGGAATCGTGATTGTATTTTGTCGGTTTCGGCTTGTGATAATGCTTCGCCGCACCCAATCTTTGTCAGCAATGTGGAGAACCCGATATCACTCTGACGCACAACTTGCACGAGCGGAAAATAATTTAGAGACTGCCAAAGGATTGCTTTCCCCCCGATCGAACTTTTGGTTGCAGTAAAAACTGGGGCCGCTCTAACTGGTGGGAGTTGCTTGAGGTCGCCGCATGCAAACAAATCTAAACCCCCGAAGTTAGCGTCGAATTCGCCCGTCATTGCCTGCAAGCGAGTGTTCACCCCGTGGAAGACATGCGAACTGCACATGCTTATCTCATCTATAATAATGCATCTGACGTTCCGTAAATGATGGCGATATGTTTGTAGGACGTCGTTTGAAAGTTGGTGAGCTCGATTGGATAGAGCGAGTTTGAATGCTGAATGAACGGTGACGCCATTCAATGCCGTTGCTGCTTTCCCTGTGGTTGCCGTCGATATATATGCGTTATTCATGTTGTTGTGTTCTTGCGCATATCGATTATACGTTTCCATGAGGGCCTTCAGCGTGTACGTTTTACCGCACCCCGCCGGTCCGGTAAGGAAAATTTGGATCGCTTCACTATTGGGATCATGCAGGCGATGAATGACTTCCAGAATCAATTCACGCTGTTCCGCGTTCAGCTTACGCATCCAGACGCAGTAATCATTCTTGCTCAGAACATTTTCGCGCGGTCTAACCGCGCTTATGGAATTCTGTAGATGATGATCATCGAAATCATCGTCATTCGGCTGAAATCCTTGCGTCGTCACGTTGTCCATTCCTTCCGTTTCTTCGGTCGTGGAGATCTCCTCATTCATGGAACATAGAGCTTCTATCTCTTTCAGGAGAGCCTCGATGTCTATGTTAGCTTCGAATTCTTTCCGCCTTTCCATGATGAGCTCCTTATTCCCGTCATAGACCTCGAGGAATTTATCGCGATCGATAACGTCGATGAGCTCATTTCGGAAGGGTATATGCAGCGTTACCATTTCTCGCTTGTAATTCTCTGTGTCACTTACATCATAGTTACGATATCTAATAACTTTTCTCGTAGCACGTTTCCGATAATTAGAGCCATCGACGTCATTTGTCTCCTCGAAGGGATGGTGCTCAAAGCTTTCCTCCTCTTCACTTATCGCTTTTTTCGCCGCTTCGTACCACGCTGCGAATTGCGCGAGTGTGAGTGCTTCCAGAGATGGCGCTCGTTCTTCATACTTTTGGATGATATTCTTCGTCCATATATCTGTGCTGTCGCTCGACAAATTTTGAGCATCCATGACGGATTTGCGTTTGCGTGCCCTGTATCTCTCATGTGGTCGCATCGTCGGGATCGACACGGTCCCACGCGAAGCCCAGCTCATAGGTTGACGCAACAAGTACCAAGCGGCCTCCTGGGCTGTCATTTCCACGCTATTCAGGATCTTCAGGCCGACTTTTGTCATGAGCTGGCACTGATCGAATTCGGGGTTTGTTTCGTGTATTTTCATGAGCTCCCGGTGCAGATGACTGAACCCTCTGTTGGACTTGTTGACGTACTCGACTACGTAACTCGCACAGGAATACGGGTCAAGAATGATTTGTAGGTCCATGTTGGAGTTGAGTGCAGACGCTATCCATGGATGGAATGTGTTGATGAAAATTTGCGACATGTTTCTTTTGAAAAGTATAGTGGGCCTCTTCAAGGATGATCTGATCAATTCGAGATACGTGACGCCATCGCAGTTTATGTCCATCATGAAGGCTTCTATAGTGTCGTATGTTTTACTCTCTAATTTTTTTCGAGCGTCAGCGACTTTGATTTTTAGAGTTTTCCGCCTACCATCATCTCTACTCAAGGGTAGCAGAACTCTGGTGCGATGTATCGGCCAGTATGGGATTTCAAATCGACAACTCTGTTCTCCCCTCTTCGTACATGTGAACGTGTGTGCATGGGTCTGATTCCGTATCATATCTGGGGTTGACAAATCGGACTCATCAACGCTGCACAAATCAGTGATCATTTGCAGCGTGCGCGGCATTTCTTCCGATATATCTTCCTTCGGATCATCATTGAGCCAGAGGAGGATGTGCGCGTGGGGACTCCCGCGGGCCTGAAACTCGATGCGCAGGAAGTAGTCCAGTACACGGTATCGTCCGAAGGGATTGTATGCTTTCTTTGCGCTCAACATAGACATGAGAACGTGTACCAGCTTATCGAAATACATGGCACAGGCAACGGGATCCTCCGCGACTAGAAACGCGCGCTTATATCTATCAAGCTTTTCCAAAATTTCTTCGACTCCGATGTCCTCGCCAAGTGACTTGTATTCATCCGATAGACGGTATAGATTACGTAGAAGATGGGGCCACTTCGTCTCGCTTGCACTGAGCGTGAGGAATGCGGTCGGTTTGCCGAGCTGACGAATCATTGCGAATAGATCTTTCTTACGATATGACCAATATTGCACCGAATTCGGGATCGTTCTTAGGAATGCCTGATTCGTCTCGATCAATCGCTCAACGAATTCGCGATCTTCTATCATACTGCGGGTGATCATCTCGGTCGGTCGCATGCAACGATACATGTTTTGGACACCATCACGGACACGAAGTCGAAGAATTTTCATGGCCATGTAAAGAACATGTTGAGGAATCACTCCACGTCGATCACTCCGACGGATTTCTGACATGCACATGCTGTACGCTGTTGCGCGAATTCTTTCCCCTGTGATCGACCGTATATGCCGTCCGCATCCAAGATATATTGCCGGAAAAGACATCTCCTCGGCAAGGGTGTCGAGAGTCAAACTCTCCGGTCGCCGATGCTGACCCGGAGCTATGTTCAGAGAATGTTCCTCGTTCCACATCATCGTGTGTTGTCGTGAGTGGATCAACTCAGCTTCCGGAACGGTACATGCATCTAGGCGTTCAATCTGATCCTCGCACTGACCGTCATTTCCCGAGCTCGTTGCGGACTCATTGAAGACAGACCAATCAATGGTGATATTGTAATGCTTGTAGAGAGGCTGCTGGACCAAGTATTTCAGCCATTCATGGATTGTAGACTTTTTCACAAACCCACTAATGTATGATGATTTGTGTACGATGTTCTTCTTCAAATTGACGTTGAAAGCATAATCATCGTCGAGAGATCGCGGCAAGCATCGAACCATGGTGTCGACATCCACCGGGACATTGATCACCTGCCCAATTATACCGTATGATCCCTCGTGTCGTAAGCGACGGATTTGCATGTAAGGAATTCGCGGGGAAATCAGCCTCTCAGACACCGGGTCCAGTTTTGGAAGGTTCACCGGCTTCGGAGGATATCTGTACCCATTAACTTTGCTGAGATTTGGGATCTTCCGCCCTCGACTGACCTTATAACAATTGTGGCAGAGTCTGAACGAATGAACATTTTCATCCGGGAAATATGGAATCAGAAAATTTGCAATCACCGAGTCGACGGCCTTCAAATCTCGTTTAAACCAGATGCGATCGCACACATCGCATTTGTGTCCGAACTCATTATCGAGGAACATGTGTCGGAAGTGAATTGTCGCGCGCCCCCATACCTGCTCATACCTGGAACATCGCCTTATCTCCGGCTCCATTTCATGTGAAGCGCCGTGCCTTAGGTCCTCAACAGATCCGGGACTCTCATTCTCCTCATTGCGAGCACGGCTCGTAGCTTGAGAATGAAGCAATGAGGCCTCCCGACGTCGCTTCCGATACAGAGCAGATCGCTCAGCAGCGCTCTTTGGCTTTTTGGCGGGTCCGCAAGCCGAACTTTGGGCTTTTCGCTTGAGACTTCTCCTACTTGCATTTTTCGGCCTCATTAGGACGGTCTCAAAATCGAGGTTCCTAGATCGGTTTGCGAGTGCAGACACCGCGATGATCCAGAAAAAAGCCCACAGAATAACGAAGCCCTCGAATGTTTAGCTGAGGATGTTTCATCAGACATTTCCCTCCCGGAATACGATATCGAACTTTCATAGAAATCCAATAAAGGAAATGATACCCGATCTGCAAAACGAGCGAGCATACTTCCAAAATTAACCCCGCGCCTTTCATTTGGATTCTCGGATCACCGCCCACCTTGAATGGCGTCATGGGTGAGTCTACTTCACCATACCTCAAATCGCTCAGCAAAGACATGGATCGAAAAGATAGGTGGCGCGAGTTGGGGGAAAGGGAGAAATTATCAAGCCGGATCGCCCAAATTGCCCAAATGCTCACGAATATTTCCTTCATGACGGGTTCTCGAGACAAAATGAATAGCTTCTAGGGCGGTTGACATCGTCGCCTGTGTTGGACAAGAGTTCCGACACTACCAGTTGCCCTGGTGGGGAGTAAAACTGTTATTCATGCCGACTTTGCTCGATATCAGAGGTGTGCACATATTAGGTGAAACAGATGATTTGAATGTCGTTAGGGAGTCCGAGAATCATATGAGAAGCTTGTGCCATAAATTTGCGACCGGCAGGTTTCAACGGCGGTGTTCCAGGTTCACAAATCGATTAGTTATGAGGTGTCAAAAGTGGATTACTTTCGTGACGCTGAGGACGAAGCACCCTTGATCTGTATGCCCGACGAATTTAAAGACGTTTTCACGTCAAAACACAAGTTTCTTATGCGGGATCTTAACCGTCTGAACCGACCCGCTGGACCGTCCGCGTACTCGCTCGCTGGCACGGCCAGCCGTCCGTTCACTCGCTCCTCAACAAAGAAGGGGACATTACTGCGGGACCACTTAAATACTTGTCGGCTCGCTCAATGTGGCGGCGAGTGCTGATTAGGCTTCCGGGAAACTCTGCTCGAGTTGCGTATCACCGTAGGTAAACTCCATGAAACGCCGAACGACCGAGCGACCGCTCCCTCCATGGTTGCCACCGCTATTTCGCGCGTGATCTCAGCAGCTGATTTGAATTAGTGACCATCCCTTTCAATGAGGGTACGTCTCCATCGCTCTTCAGCTCACCGTGAGCTCTCCATCGCTCTCAGGCAGGAGATCTTGAGTATCAGTTTCCTAGTGTCAGTTTCGACCGCCACAGGATAGTCTCGACCTAAAAAAAGCGTTCCACATCGGCCGGGAGACGCATTCTCCGGGCGGACTGTCGGAGCGGAACGCGGCTTCGGAAACTTGGGGAGTTCGACCGCGGTTTCATTAAAAAGTTACGGCCAACCGCCGGATACGCCACCGCCGGGGCCGTGAGAGAGTGTCGAGTCGTATGGGCCTAAAGAAGCGACTCAGTCAGTTTCCGTGAATAGCTTCCTGTCTAGAAAAATGAGCAAAGGGATATAGAAGAGAACCGATGTCGTTCTCGACCACAAGGGAACTTCTGGAAAGGCTATCGAGCTACACTGCCCATTAAGATGCGCTTTTGTCGGAAGTTCGGACTTCCGCGGGTCCGAGCCCTCGAGCCCGACGGAACGAAGACTGAACGTGCTCATCCCGAGAGGATGGAGAGTATGGCACCATGATCATCGGGATTTCGGGAGCAGAATTCGAAGAGAATAACTCTCGCTCGTTGGCCGGAAAGGAGCCCGGATAAAATTCCAGAACGCAATCCGACGCCATCCCTTAGGGCCCAGGTTCTCCGCTCCGATGAATTATGACTTCACCGGAAACCATAGTTTTTCAGCCGTTCGTTATCGGGAGCGGTCCCTGTAGGCCGATAGATCTTGTTCCCCTCATTTTCCGGCTCATTTTTCGAGCAAGCCCAGTGAGGCCCCCGAAGAAACATTTGATCCATGATTTGCGTCTGGATTCAGAATAATTATCTCGAGCGAGGATCCGGAGTCTGGGAATGATTAGGTGGTTCTGCGAGAATTCCCGAGCTTCCAACGGGAATTTTCCGACGGAATTCCGGAGCTCGAGTCGCTTATTGACGGTCCGCTCAAGGTGTCTATATTCCTTGAACGGGAATCTCTCACTCGATCGTCTCCTCATGAACTTCGTGACAGCTGGAATGCGACGTGGAGAGCAAGATGGGAAAGACTTGGTTTCGAGAAACAGACAATTCTTATGGCCTTGCTTCGAGTCCCTGGCAACACGGACTTCTGGCGGAATGCGTCTGGGCGAGAAATCTCATAGAATTCTAGAACAGAACAGGACGCCGGAGCTTGCAGAATACGAAATTATTCATTCTCACGAACCAAAATGAAATCACCATTTTATATATCGTCCGAACTTCTATCGTCGCTCGAGACGGAAAAGCAAATAAGCTATTCAGACGGAAACGAACGAACATGAATCTGGGATTTTCTGTCCTTCCAGACGAGCCCTAAAGAAAGGCTAGTCGCGAAGCCATCCTTCATCTTAGGATTCACTTTGAAGCATAATGTTTGACGCGAGAACGTTTTCGGAATCAGCGTCATCGCACTGCGTCAAAGTCAACGCCTTCAACGACGATGTACTTGTTCTATTATACGACAGGAGACGATGGCAAGATGACTAGCTGCTGCTCGCTCGGCGGCTCTTCGGTTGGCTAAGATCTCATTTTGTCTTCTCGTGACAACCGCGTCCTCCCCACTAATTTACACTTTTGTTCGCAACTCTTCCCGGGCCCGAGCTCCCCCATCGTCCTCATCCCCCGTCGTCCGTCTCGCCTTCTGCGGGACCCCGAGATCGACTCGGAACCCCCTCGGTTTTTCTTACGGTCTTCTCGCCCGCTCTGTTTCTCGCAGGTCCCTCTTAGGCCGCCGCGAGTTTCCCAGCTCGCTTGCTCGCTCGTCCCTCCGTCCGCTGTCGACATTAGAGTAGAGCCCTTGGCAGCCGGAAGCTCGAGGCCCTGTAATTGAGTCAGTCAAGACTCGCGTCCGTGTCCTTAAGTAAAAGCGCCAAGACGGCCAAGGGCCAAATCAGCCAAGCCTTCTGAAAACCAGTTGACTTCGAGAACTCTTGTTGTGCCGAGTTGTCGATTTTCGCTCTGCCTTCACAGCTAGCGCTCGGGCTCGTACAGTGAAAGTTCTTTTCACCGAAAATTAGCACGCGATAAACGGAATAATCATCCTACTCGATGACGGCGCATCATTCGGAGAAATGCCTGCGGATGGTGCCCTCCGACGGATAATGATGATTATCCTGAGGTGATACAGAGCTGTATGTTCCTGGACCTCGGAACGCTCAACCGACCATCACAATGGTTCCCCCTTGATCGAGATGCCGTCCACTCCGTAGAGAACGGTCGAATGTTGATCGATTAGGTATCATCAGGAGCAGGTACCATTATATGTACATTGAATACCCATTCAACGATTTCGTGAAACCGTTGTCAGCGCCGCGAGTGAACGAATCTCCCTCACATCCTGCTCCAGTGCCGGAAATCCTACGAACTAGGCTGAGCAGGTTTGTAGCCTTAGGCGGCAAATTTTCTGGAGACACCCTCCTATAGAGTCCCCTCCCTCACCCTGTTCAGGCGACCGCTCAAGATGAGCCTTACGACGCGGCGGCAGAATCCCGGATTCGGCACTGTCCTGCTCCAATGAGCGATGATTGTAACGGCGTCTTCGAGGTTCCGGAATCGAGGTCGGCTGACGCCTGTCAGCGGAGATACACTGTTGCGGACGCTTGTTTGTCGATAAGCCGTGACCAATATATCTCCGAAAGCTGACCAGAGTCCATAGATATGCAGCTGTTCGGTATATGTGATCCATCTTCCTTTTTCCAGCTAAAAACTCGATTCGATTCGGAGGCCTCCGACCAATGCTTTTCAGTCGATGTGATGCAGACCTGCCACCTAGCTTTCGTCGTGTGTGAGGGCGTAGCAGCTGCACTTAGTGGGGCGACTAATTTTAACGGTTTCCGATAGTTTTAAAAAATAATTTAAAAAAAAGGGATCTCAAATAGACCTCGATGGGGGGCCGCACCGATAGACGGCAGTCTTGCAGCTACACTCGAGAATAGAGGGAAACGCCAGGGACTCGGAGCCCGCTTCTTCCCCATTGGAAACTGTTGTTGTTGGAAACTTTCTCTCGATGAAACTTTGTAGCTGCACAAAGCTCGGAAAGCTCCCGAAACATATGGCTGAATTCGGAAGGCCCTTGATCTCAGCGAGGATCTCCAGACGATCTCCATTCTATCCTAAGATGCCTTGAATATTTCATCTCCGCTGCGAAGAACGCGATGGGCTATGCGGACAAATGCATCTTCGGGGCACAGCTAAGACGAGCCGGATGAATATTGAGCTTCGGTGTCAGCACACTGCGATCTTTTCCGCTCCTCTGGAATAGAACTGGCAGACACAACGTGTTCTCGTGGTCCGAGCAACGGGAATGCTTTAGATTCTCGCAGCCTTCTGGGTACTGAGCTCTGAAAGTCCGAGCTCTGAGGCCCGTATCCCAGGTCGAAGCCTCTCCAATGCGACGAATTGTGAGCAGTGACAGTCTTCCCACATTACCTCATAATCAATGACCCCTCTTACTCAGCGTTGCGCTTCCCGTACTGTGAATCTGTCCGAAATATGGCGGCTAGACATCATAAATTCTTGTGGGACTGTTGTGGAGCTGTTTTTGAGTTCTTACTCCTCACGGGATGCCG